ACACACACACACACTTTTGGGGGGCCTGTTATTGTTGCCATTTTGGTCAAATGAAAAGAAAATTCTTGATTTTTTTTTCAAGTGTACGAGATGAATACATACATGCACAATGTTATGTACATCTTTACTGTATACGTACAAAAATGCCCCTGCAGAAGTACTGATATTCCGTTGAGCTTCCTTAGTTACCATAGATCTGTATATTGCATATTATTATCATAGATGCAGCCAACGTACAAGTGCGTACCTATTCTATCCCATCGAGCGCCCTTAGTTACTATAGGTCCATTTAATTAATGTACTCTATTCCACACAGCGTCCTTATTTACCATAGATCTATTAAATAAACGTATATTATACATACACTATACAGTGTATATGGATAATAATGGAAATGTACTCCATCCACCAAGCGTTTTTGGTTACCATGGATTTGTATATCTACATACATGTACACACTAGCGCTATTGCTAATGCACTTCATCTCACCCGGCATCCTTAGTTACCATGGGTCTGTACGATCCCGCCTAGCGTCCCTAGTTACCACAGGTCTGTAAGTCTGTATATTTACATACCGTATTCTGACACTAATGCCAATAGTAATGTAAGCTACGTTATCCTATCGAGCGTGCTTAGTTACCATCGGTCTGTTCACAGCTAACCAGAATCTACTCTCTACCCACTCAGCGTCCATAGTTACCCTAGGCCCGTTCACAGCTGATTTACTCTTTACCCACTCAACGTCCATAGTTACTGTACGTCCGTTCACAGCTAATTAGCCTAATCTACTCTCTACCCGCCCAGCGTCCATAGTTACCATAGTATAGGTCCGTTCACAGCTACTCTACTATCTACCCACCCGACGTCCTTAGTCCATAGGTCCTTTCACACCTACTCTACTCTCTACCCACCCAGCGTCCTTAGTTACCATAGGTCCTTTCACAACTACTCTACTCTCTACCCACCCAGCGTTCTTAGTTACTATAGGTCCGTTCACAGATAATCTGCTCTCTACCCATAGAGCGTCCATAGTTACCAAAGGTCCGTTGACAGTGAGGACACGGATCCCCTGAGCCTCGTTTCCATTATCAAACAGACTTCCCGGCAGCCGCGACACTTTGGTGGCCGTGAGGCTGAGCCGGCGAAGGGCGTGGTTTCCCGCGACAAGCCCCGCCCCCAGACGCCGCCCGGTGAAGGTCAGCTCCAGTTCCTCAAGGCCGGCCAGGGGCGCGAGGGCAGACACAGACAGACGTGACGTCACACCCAGGCCGTGGAGCTCGCGCAAACTATGGAGACCCCGCCACTGGTCAGCCGACACGGAGGAGATCCAGTTTCCGGTCAGATTCAGCACCTGGAGTTTGCTACACCCTGGTAAAGAAAACGGGCGGATTTCTTCTTTTTAAAAAAAAGTACGACTAGAGAGAGAGAGAGAAAGAGAGAGAGAGAGAGAGAGAGAGAGAGAGAGAGAGAGAAAGAGAGAGAGAAAGAGAGAGAGAAAGAGAGAGAGAGAAAGAGAAAAAGAGAGAAAGAGAGAGAGAGGGGGGGGGGGGCAGGGGGAAGGAAGTTGAGAGACCGACACCGAGGGGGGAGGGGAGGTCATATATTACTTCCTCCCTCTGTGTTTTAAGTTTACGCCGTTGTACGCTACCTGTGGGAATCACAAAATAAAATTTCTAAATAAACAAAATAGTAATAACATGATGGGCTATAATGCTAAGCTGCTCTTACTCTTACCTTTCAGAAAAATAGGAACTTCTTCAAACCCATCAAAAGCCAGTGACAGGTCCTCGATGTCAGGGAAAGTCTGGCAGAAATTCTGATCTTCCTGATCGCTCAAACTGATACTTTCTGACAATAGTGGGTTCATTGACAGGTCTATTTTCAGAACGAAAGAGCTGTTCAGAAAAACATCCGCAAAATCTGTAGGGAGTGCCTTTAAATTTCTAGATGAGCAATTCATGCTAATCTCTCCAATTTCTGTTGTGTTGGAAGACCGTTTTGTACAGGAACACACACCACAGGGGAAAACGCTGAGCCATGTTCTCGACTCTTGGCGTAAACCGTAAGATGAGCAAAATATGCCACAAAAGACGAACAAAAAGAGGCCCAAAGAGGAGATTTTTGTGTTTGCAGTGGCAGCAGAACCCATATTTTCACACTTTAAGAATTTAAAAAATCTAGGATCACCGATCGAATGACTTCCTAACCCCTAGCCTAGCCTACATAACCTATTTTTACACCCACCACATTTGTGTGAAGCCCTCCCTCCCAGATGCTGAGACCCTAAGGTAGGTTCCTTGTTCACCACTGCATCAGCAACTGCACATGTCTTTAAAACGAAAAAAAGATGTACCAGTGCCAGACCTAGAATTAAAATCTACACCTAGATCTAAATATTTATTCTAGGTCAAGATCAAAATCTGCTTTAATTTTAATGTTATGTTTCTGTTGTTGATCTTCGTGGTTGACATACGGTAGTAATCATGTTCCCATTGTTAGCTAGATACTTTCTTTAAAGAGTACAAACAGACACGATATTTCATAGATGAATGAGAGAATCTCTCGCTTTTTGGCAAACGATACTCTACTCGTCACCATTAAAAATTCAATGACGATACCCATAATAACGACACTACCTTTTTGGATTCAAATGTGTATTGACATTATCAAATAACAATATTTGTTGATGTTCACCATTCACATGCTCTGTAGCCTAGCCAAGATCAATAATGAAAGTGTTAAGTATACTAGATCTATAACATCATGAAAAATAAGCACCCCTTTTACGTAATTTGGAACGACGTAAACCGTTTTTGAGTGATGCACCAGAGAATCAGCAAAAACCTGGCAGGAAAATCAAAGCGTCAATATCCGCCGTTTGTTTTCGAAAAGTTCATTATCAATTTGTTCATTATTGTTTGTTCGCTTTTGTTTTGTTTCATCGTTGTTGTTATTTTTCTAGAGAAGGGGGAATGTTGCTTACTCGCTTTCCTTTTACTTTCAAATAAAACGTTTTGTGTACTTCCTTTTCCCCTTAGCCTCAGACTAAAATACGACCTCAGGAGAAAAAAAAGAAATGAAACACTGTTTCAAAGGCATAGAAAGTTTAGCCTGTAAAAAGTGTATTTTTAGGTGAACGACTGCGTTGTCGTTTTCATGATGGCAACATGTACAGCGATAAATTTCTTCGTTTCGCCAATGAGAGCTATGGGGATTTCCCCATCATTGTAAAACGTTTACAGTATAGGGGAAGGGAGGTAACCTGACAAATAATTTTTAAAGAATGTTTACCCTGAGTTATCTACCATTTTAAAAATCCTTCGGATCAGGGGCTCCTAATTACATTTTAAAACTATAGTCCGCAAGGTCGGGTTTGTTTGGCCTACCGCCCTGCTGGGGAAAACAATTTGGAAAATGATTTTGTAGAGAGTTAAGGTCTTATTTAAAAAAAATAATAATTCCATTGAATTTTACAGTGGAAATGAAACGTCCTTTTCTAGCTAAAGTAGTCTATTATTCTCTTGTTCGGTTTTAGTGTGACAAATCTTTCATTTCACACAAGTTCTGCATCAAACAGGCATGGCATCAGTTTTTGGAACACCCTATGTCTGAGTTTGAAGGCAAACATTAAAAAAAAGTAAAGTATGGGACGGTAATACATCGAATACAGTTGACTGATGAACATTTGAAAGCAACGAAAGCTTTTTCGTAAGAGTTTTACGGCACTTGCAACACAATAAGGTCATATAAGTGCCGAAGATTAGAGGTGTTACAAGAGAGTAACAAACACAAAAAAGAAGGAGGGGAGATAAGGACGATAGATGTTTGATAGGAAAGAAGAAGCAAACCACACCAGAGCAGTTTAGTTTTAGTAAGAGTTTTACAGCACTTGCAACACAATAAGGTCATATAAGTGCCGAAAATTAGAGGTGTTACGAGACAGTAACAAACACAAGTAAGAAGGAGGAGAGATCAGGACGATAGATGTTTGATAGGAAAGAAAGAGCAAACCACACCAGAGCACCTGCCAACCACCCACTGTTTGAGTTTGCGTAAAGAGAATCACATTGACACAACATCAACGACGGTCATTTCGTGTAAGTGGAAAAGTAAGACAGACGGTAAGACACAAAGAGTGACAGAATAATGATAATAATAATAATAATAATAATAATAGATAGCATTTGTATTGTGCATATCCCCGCTCAACAGCAGGCTCTATGCGCTTTACACTATATTATTACCCCAGTAGACCATAGAACACTCCGAAACATTCTCAGCTTCCCGGGAAGCATACAGAAAAGAAGTAGGACCTACCAGTGGCGCCCTCCAACCATCCACATGCTTGAAAGCAATTGTTTTGGTTTGAATATTGATGATACCTTGAAAAAAGTTGAAAGCTAAATTGAGCTCAAGTTTCATAAATCTCATTTGTTAAAATGTTATTCTTCGTTGTTTTTTTCGCTGCTTGGTTTGAGGGATTCACAGTCGTGAGCACTAGGTGTGGTTTAATTTATAACAATCTCATTACAAACTTTACTTATCTGTAAAAGTAAGACTATAGAGTCTACAACTACTACATACCTATATAATACTGTGTTTGTTGTAAATGTGTATTAATTTTTTAAGGCTCCAGTCTACATGATGTATTTTGTTTATAATGAATCAATAGGTTGGATGTCTTAATTTTTTTTTACGTATTCAGTGTATAATAAAGGTACATGTAGTGGTATATATATATATATATATTGTCTTTCAAGTCTTTGTATTGAATAGAAATAGAATACATGTATGTAGCCATCTGGCCCATGCTTGCTATTCTCACAGTTCTCTGGCCTACTCTGAAAAAAGTTTGGTGATCTCTGAACTTAAATCTTCTAACTGGGCCTCGTGGCATGCGAGTTTCCTGGTGTTACTTCTGTACGGAAGGCCATTAGTATACGGTGCGTATACTTGTCTATCATTATCATATAAATGTTTTTTTTTTCTAAAATGATGTTCAAAAGTACATGTATACCACCCATATTGTTAATTATACACACGGCATATAGCCAATATCTGGCCCAGAAAAGGGGAAGTAATGCAGAATGGAACTTTCTAATTACCTGTTTCACAGATTAAATCAATCTGAAGGTAATAGTAATACCGTGAAACTCGGATACAACGAACTTGGATTCAACTGTCAACAAAAGGAGACGGATTCCCCATTTTAAACAATTTATTAAAATCTAAAATCAGCAAAATGGGATTCAATGAACAAACACATAAATGAGCAAAATCGGGCTGATCGAAGTCTCTTGGCGGGTGAACAACCCATGCTGATATGGCTTCACGCATTGTTCTCCTGCAATGAAGCTTATCTACTCTTATTCCAATTCCAAGAGACCATCGATTGCACATACTCTGTGGATCATTATGAGCTTAGTGCGGCTTAGCCTAAGCCCACTGCGTACATCTTATGTGACTAATTAGAAATCTTCTTTCACATCAACACTGCATTGTTGACACACACACATAACTTAAGACATGACATGTCTCAGCTCAGCATGTGCTGAGGTTGGGAGGTGTCAGATTAGCGGCCAGCACATGTGTGGCTACTACTGCGTGTGTCTAGGGGGAAGGTGGGAGTGTAGGCACAAGTGTTCTTTATATATACAGTGGAAACCTGATATAACAAGGATGGTGGGACAAGAGAAAAAGTCCTGTTATATTGGATCCCTGTTAAATCAGAAATGCAAGGGAAGTAAACATTTGTGAACTAATCCAGTTGTATTTATTCATGGGTAGTTTCCCTTGCCACAAGTACCATGTGGCAGGCCAGCACATGACACATTACGTGTGCGTGTAGCTAGGGCTAGATCGAAGTCTGCAGCTCACTGCAGCCCTCTCCCGCTTCAGCCGTTGTGTGTGTCTGCAGTGGTGTAGTTTGCGAGGGCTTACTCCATAACTGCGTTACTCTCACTCTCTTACTTTTTACACATTGTTAACGAGCCTTTGTCCCTGCTATAATCGATTGGGCTCCGATGAGGCCCTGTTATTGCCGATAACTTTAAATAAAGACAAAGAGTAGGAAAAAATGGGTATTTAAAAACTTCCTGTTATTTCCGGGTCTATGGTTTCCACTGTACATTATTTCTTTGTGAACTAACTCCACAGCCCTGAGAGTGATGATGATGCCTCAAAAGTACTCAAATAAAAGAACACACACAGCACAGCACAACAACGAAACATATCAGATCAAAAACATAAACAACTGTCAGCGTCGTTTTTAGTATTTTTAATTCATAAAGAAAATAAATAAAAACACAAGTTAAAAAAAAAATTTCAATCTGAGTGACCAAAATTCCTTCCACCCGTAACTGACATTAGTCATTTAGTAACACTATTGCTCTCACTCAAAATTCATTTGTTTGTTTAAAGTATAGAGATCCACATCGACACAATAATGTCGACAAAAGAGGGAAAAAAAACAAAAAACCCAGACCTAACACTAACAGTGGCACCCGCAAACTAGGCTATTCGCTCCTAATTTCGAAGACCCCACACCAAACATTTCAACGTCTTTCTATAACAAAAGCTCCTGCAGTAGTCTTCTGTTCACATAAAGGTAAAGCAAACATCTCATAAATCTTTCATCATAAAAGATAAACACAAACATGTCATTTTGATACTGAAGTCACTATAAATGGACAACACACTAAAACTTTCTAAACTTTTAAAACAACTCAATCAGATGCAGAGACAGGCGACTTACGCTCTTGTACACATACAACCATTCCACAGACAGGAAAACATACATTACACACCCACCCAGTCAGTCGCACCATATATACACAGAACAGCGGTTGACAACAATCTTACACAGAACAACACCCACAATCTGTACCATCAAAACAAAACATTCCGCTCAGCCTTTTCCCTCATCACACACACACACATGTAATGTAATATGTAACATCACACACCACACACACATGCAATTTGAAACATCACACACTCACACAATTTGTAACACCCCACACACATGCAATTTGTAAAGCAGTTGTAGGCCTATACAGCGAACTGAACCCGGCATCCAATGAATTCCTCGGGTCTGACACTTGATTAGAGATGGGTGATGGGTAGAGACCAGGAAAATACAAATTTTTGTTGTGAGTATCCAAGCAGATAAAAGCGTGGTGAACCATAATTTTTGGTTTGTTTCAGATCTGGCATTTACAGAAGAAAAAGACATTGATTTCTCTGATTCTCAGGTTTCATTGAGTTTGATGGACATGAGGTTTTGTATAGAGCTGGGTTAAAGTAAGGTTGGATACCCCCCCCCTCCCCCCCACCACATTGAAGAAGTACACCTAGTGCACAACATTCGGGGGCACTGCGGGGGTCATAGTAGTTGTGCTGCACTCAAGTCTCACAGGAACAGGAAATAGCTGGCTGTGATCACCACTATATGTGAAGACATGGGAGGGTTTGGGGGGGCGGGGGGTTCTAACTTTACTTTTGCCCAGCGTTGATCTACTGGATATAGCCATGACCTCTTGAATACAGCCTTGACCTACTCAGGCGTCTTCTGCTGTACCAGGTCCACCTGAGGTCCCTCCACAGCCAGCATGTCCAGGTCGGCGTTGAGCCCAAACTGTCCAGATACATAGTGAACAATGGTCAGAACTGTTGCGTGTTGAACAATTAACAATGGTCAGAACTATTGCGTTGCTTGACAAATGATAAAAATTCTTATGCCAGTTGAACAATGATACGAATTATTATGCCAGTTGAAAAATGACAAGAATTATTAGAAAAATGATAAGAACTATCACTGGTACTCCGACTGATGCTCTGTTTGGTTTACCTCAACTACCACACTGACATTTTTGGTCCAGTGAACATCAAGAATATAAAGTCCTTTTATCATTTTCCCCATGGTCCTTGTACTTACGGTCTCCCAAGTTATTACGAACTCTTGTTTGAGAGTAAGGAGATTTCTCTTTGTTTATTTGAATATACACCCTAGCAGGCAAGTAGCGAACAGATTTTCAGGTCCCAGGTTTGAAATAATATAGGTCTATTCATATATTCAGCCTGAAATCCGTACATAACAAAATGATTTTCGCATTCTGCTGATTTCCCAGTGCATGCTGGTCTGTATGTTTTATGACATCATCAGCACAGTGAGTGAGGGGAATACAAAAACAGTCACCAGGAGCTGGGAAAGAGCAAGACATGACACATAGAAATCAGAGGGAGAGTAAAGAAATAGGACCTACCAGTGATGTCCTCCATCCACCCTCACATATAGAAGCAAGATTTAAAAAAAAAGAAGTATGACCCACCACTGGCACCTTCCAACCACCCCTGAAAGTATCAGCTATGACATACGATCTAGCACAGTTTAAGTTTTAGTAGAGGTTTTATGACGCTCGCAACTGCATAAGTCATATGAGCGCCAGAAGATTAGAGGTGTTACAAGAGAGCAACAAACATAAAATAGAAGAAGGGGAGATAAGGACGATAGATGTTTGATAGGAAAGACTCGTGAAGCAAACCACACCAGAGCATCCGCCAACCACCCACGATCTAGCGCAACGAACAAACAGTGAAAGTAACAAAGGACAAACCTCTACCTTGTCTCTGAACTCCTTCAGGTCCCTCCTCATGGCGTAGGCGTCTTCCCCGTCCGCGTAGTATTTGGGCTCAATCTCGCTGATCCTGGGGAGGACATGAGGAACATGGAGTGACGGAACATACCGGAAAAACAATAACCTTCTTCAGTTTTAGTTTTAGTAAGAGTCTTACGGCTCTTGCAACACAATCAGGTTAGTTTTAGTTTTAGTAAGAGTTTTACGGCACTTGCAACACAATCAGGTTAGTTTTAGTTTTAGTAAGAGTTTTACGGCACTTGCAACACAATCAGGTCATACAAGAGCTGGAGATTACAGGTATCACTAAAGTGTAGCATACAAGCAAAAGAAGGAGGAGAAATAAGGAAGATAGAAGGTTGATAGGAAAGAAGGATCAAAGTACACCAGAGGGCCCACCAAGCATTTGTCATATGTTATGTAACTTACCAGTACATACACATGCAGACAGACAAAGTTACACCTAGTTTTAACCCTTAGAACTCCCCCCCCCCCCCAGGAGTACTAATGTACATGCTTGCTCGCTTGCTTTAGTTTTTTTACAGTGTAAAATCGTTCTCTCTAAAAATCTAATCCATCTCCCCTGATAATCACTGACAAGCACCAATTATGCACAATCCAACATTAAAACTTAACTCTAATTTTACAACAATCTATTTTCTGAGCCGAACATCTTCACTGCAACAACTGAAAACTTACGAAAAGCGTAGCGTCTCCGTGTACAGATGTAGGGCCGCCCGGTTGCTTTTCCTGACGTGAAGAGACACGTACTGAGCGTTGAAGTTCTCCACCATAGCCCGCGACGCCTGGTCCATCAGCTTCTGTGCCAGGCCCAGACGACGGTGGGATCTCTTCACCGCCTGCAGACATCATCATAATAAAATAATAATGATAATGATAATAACAGTGTGGGTCATTTCTGTAGTGCCTACAGCTCTAGGGGTGCTTTACATATACCCTAGTACAAAGAACAATAACTGTGAAAAAGTAAATAAATATCTGCTTATATGCACACACAGAAGGAATCACAAACACAAATACACAAACATTTATTCAGGCACATGCGTGCACAAACACACGCACCTCTCTCATCATACATGCATATACATCATGGACCAAATGTACTCTAGATTTGTGTTTTATTGCAGATCTTTGATCTATGGTATTGGCTGCATGTGCTCGATGAATATTATGTCGAAATTCAAATTCAATTACAACACCCACACACTCACTGTCTCAGAATGGAATATCCAAATCAGTAAAAAATGTCTATATTGCTACTGTAATGAATAAGATTATAACAGAATTTACCAGAGATGTGATGTGTCCATGGGGAACAGAATCTTCAGGATCCTCCTCCCTGTAATAAGACAATTGTTTACATTACTGTGGTTGCTATAGCCAACATGTTGGATTATTTGAGTAAAGAGAATCATGTATCAACATGATAACAGTCATAAGTGCATTAAAAAAGCAAGACAAACAGACAGAAATAACACCCAAAAAAAAGTATGACCTACCCAGTGGCGCCTTGTAACTTTCCACTTCTACCTAATCAGAAGTTATAGAAAGGACGTTCTACAAGCAAACATTATCTTCAGCAACAGAAAACCAATTTCACTGAATACACAATAATCACATGCTGATATATTAAAAGAAAAGCACGGTAAGTTGAGGAAAAACTGAACATCAAAATTTATTCTACTTCAATATCTGAATACTCTTCCTCACAGCTGTGTATGTCAGTGATTCCTATCAACACCACTCACTAACCCCTTCGTTGCCATTTGATGCACCTAGCACGTCGTGAAAATTAGTAATTTTTAGCTTTGTGCCATACCATGGATGTCATGGAAGTTGGCAAAATTTGTCGTTCCTGATAGCCTTCAATCAAGAACGGCAAATCATGCATCTATGAAGAAATATGAATCTGAAGGACTTCTATGAAGAGATGAATTACGAAAGCTTCTGAAAATATTGACAAGACAACTCAAGACTAACTGAAAGACAGAACTTACATCTTGGCCAGCACGTAGCCCACAATCTTTCCTGATTCATCCTCAGCCACATATGAGAGCTGTAAAACAAAGAACAAATTATTACTGTTTGTTTGAGTTAAAATAAGCACACTGACACAAAAACAGCTGTATAGAGCAGGGGAGAGGAAAAACATACAGACACAAAGAAAAAAAAACAAGAAAAGAAAAAGGACCTACCAATGGTGTCCACCATCTGCAAAAAAGACTGAAAACTTTTACTGGAAGTAGGCCTATATATCTACTTTGGGGTTTCTTTCTTTTTTTTTTAAAGGAGACGTTGTTATTTCCAAACAACAAGATAGATTACACTGTCATGATCACAATTGCCAAATACCTTTTTTTCTGCTTTCTAGTTACCGGGTATTGGTATGAAAAAAAAGAAGCCTTTTCTTTATTTCATATCCACAATACAGCAGGGTTTTGTTTCATGTACTACAAATACAATAATAGAGACAATTTCACTTTTGCTCAAGTCATACGGTTCTCAAAACAACATTTTAAAAAAGACTTAAAAGTAGTTGTGTTATGGCTGTCACGAAATAGCATTTGAACAGACCTGTGGCCAGGAGAGGCCATGATAGAAGTAGTACTTCATCTGGTAGTTCTCTGGCAGGCACAGCAAGTTGCAATGCTGCATGTTCATCAAGTCGTCGGGCTGAAATAAATACCAGATTATATCGCAATGAACTTCACAAAACAAAGACGAGTGAAAGTAAAGTAAAATCCCCCCATGCCTTCACTCATCACAATGATCACAGCCTGCTGTTTTTTGTTCCTGCAAGACACAGTTGAAATTCTGACTGTAACCCCAGATTTTGTACTCTAGGTCAAGTAGTTCAAAATTTGAAGTTACACAATTAACTTTCCAAAGATTCTATTACAACACGACCCTTTCATGGAGCCACCCAATTTTCTGTTCCCTACAGCACTCAGCAGTAAAATAAAGTAATATTGAAGATTTTGTGTGATAGGAAAGATCATGAACCACATCTCTTCCACCTTTAAAAAAAATGTTTCAGGGTATTATAATTAAGGCTGGCACTATTTCTCCGAACGTTCGGGAAAATAAAGCTGGGCACTATTTCTCCGAACACTCTGAAATCTCATCCTTTCTCGTAAATTTCGGATATTATATAGATCTGTAATTATAGTATAGGCCTACCAAAGATTGTTCGTATACAATATGGTTCAAGCGGTCCAAAAAATGTCGCAGTAAATATTTATATAAAGAAATGCTACAATTCCAAACAGTTTTTCGCTACAGATATGGCGTGTTGCCTATGAAAGGTACTGCTCTTAAACGTAATGTGTTGTGTTCACTCGTGTGCTGTCTAGATCTAGATCTAGATCTACGGAGGGTTATTGATAACGACACATAGAACTGGCATCTGCGTTTGTCACTGCTGCGACCAATGTACTGACACTAGCAAAACCCCTTACTTAATGTGTGTGATTCCATAATTTACATGTAATATCCTGTACTTAAAAAAAAAAATTACGCACATTTAGGGTTAAAACAGCCAATCTTCTTCGGACAGGTGGACACACGCCCTTATTTGTTAATGTTTGTTGTTGTTTATGGGCTGTTCTAATTTTGATTTCTTTCTGTTGTGAAACCTTTCTTTTTCACGTTTTTAAACTCTTCTAAAAATCTCATCTAGACTAGCTCTTGAAAATTGAAATAGATATAGACCCAAAAATTTGCTCCTGTGTGTATGTATGTATGTGCGTGTGTGAGTGTGTCTGTGTGTGGTAGTAAGTGGAGAGTGAGGAGTGTGTGTGTGTGTGTGTGTGTGTGTGTGTTTCGGGCTTTATTTCAGCCTTTATTCAGTAACAGTTCAAAGTATACAAAATAGAAACACAGGATCCATTCACTCCAGGGCTCATGAGTCGTTCGTCTCTTTCAGTTTCACTCATTCATTCAATTCCCGTGTTCTCTCCCGCGGCTCATCCCTGTCCGTATAACTTTCAATACTTTCATACCCCACCCCCTCCCTCCAGGCACACACAAAGAAAATCTCACTCATTCCCTTGCTCCCTGCGAACCATGGACAATAATATAGGCAAAACACTGCCTGAGCTGCATTCCTTTCTTTCGTGAGCTGTGGACCAGGCTAGGGGGGTCGGTGTCGTCGTCTTGTAGTTGCTGTCGCCTGTGGATACACTCGCACATTCTTCCTTTCACCCGCTCTTTCACTCACACTGTCTCTCCATCCACAGCTCAGCTCGTCATACGTTCAAAAGTTGCCCGTTGGTCCTGTTTAGTTAGTGTGTGTACATGTGCATGATGGTGGTGGGTGTGTGATGGGTGTTACTGAAGGTTGCCTGTAGGCGGGCTTGCCATGCGGTGTTCCTTCCCAGATTAGGGGCAGAATGAAAGTTGGCGCCGAACTCTCGCAATAAATAGGCAAAAAATCACGAGACCGGAAGCCGGAAACCGTTCGGAGAAATAAAGATCGGCACTATTTCTCCGAACGTTCGGAGAAATAGTCACTTCATATAATTAATGCCTGGAGTTGAGAATCTAGATGTGTCTGTTGGGACTGAAGCCGAAGCCTACCCACACACAACAGTAACAACAAGCTGCCAATACAAATTGGAAACATAACCTAGACGAGGCACACAGAGATCAAACCCACAGAATATGGCAAAAGCCAAGTGACAAACCTGGCTTAAGTATGAAAAGCCTTGCCCTTGCCAGGTGAAGCCCTGCTAAATCTACCTCTTTCACTTTGCATTGATGGAACAAAACACTCAGCCTAGAGACAGGCTGAGTGAAAACTTTCGTAGTGACTGCGATGGGAGCAGGTAACAAAACTGATTGACAAAGGACTTGTTAGATGGGGACTGCTATGGACAGGCAAAACATTCACAAAAAGTCGAAATTGAAAGGTGTGTCACACAAACAAAGTGAACTTTAAATAGTAAGGTACAGGAGGAGGTGACTGTCACAGAGGCAGATTCGACAGTGATTGATAAATGAAAAAGTGATAACAGACTACGTGCAGATGAAAAAAGGTTAGTAGTAACCTACATACAAATACTAGATACACTCGATTACTAGATATCTCTACTGACACTACTGTAAAAGTAAGGACAAGAAGGCAAGGTGACTTACCGCGGCACAACGAATGTTCATGGTTGCAGCTGCTGTCGACTGTTACTATCAGTATCAGAGACCTGGGAAAATGGGATAGAGCTGACTGATGAGGTTGTTTAGTTAAAAGCTTGTTTAGTAGGCTGGGAAGATTGAAGAATACCGGACCACTCGTACATTATTGCGCGAGAAAGTGGAGTAGGTGGGGCGGGTGGTTGGGGTGGAGGAGGGGGGAGGGGGGGTTCAGGGGGGTCTCCCCCCTGACAAAATTTTAACGAATAGATCTACCGGTCCGAGATTCTCCATTGAGAGATATCAAAAACGGGGAAATTATGAATTCCTAAGGTTGAGACATAGGCAAAGTCAGTCCGCTGGTCCGGTATTCTTCATCAATCTTACCAGTAGGCTTAGGCTTAGTTTAGGAAACTTAGACTTTGAGATCAGGCTAGAGGTTGGGTTAGGTTAGAAGACATGCCGTTAAACTTAGAAATGACGCATCTTTCTGATTGGCTGCTTATTTTAGTAATGTGATGTCATCACTTCCTGGGATACCCAAACATGGAACGAAGTGTTTTCGGTAACATTTAGGATTTTCTAGATCTAGATTCTAGATTAGATCTAGATCTAGATTTTAGATCTAGATCTATTAGGCCTACCTGGACATGATGGAAGACCGCACGAAAATTGCCGTAAAGACGCAGGAGGACTAGATAATATCTAGATCTAGATATCTAAATTTAGATCTACCACCCCCCCCCCCCTCCTGCATTTTTAATCACTAATACACTTTAAAAAATAAACAACAACTTCAAAGTCAAAGCAACTCTACAAATTAGGCCTATAATTTATGGAACTGTTGGTCACTCGGGAGGAGGAAAAGAGAAAAAAAACAACTGTCCGGGACCGGACATCAAACGCAGACGCGCTATCAAATCAGCTATCAGAAATTCCGAGAACTTTGTGAAGATTAAGCATAATATACATAGACACTTCCATCTTTGGTGCCATGCGGTTGTCTATACTTAGATGTAGTCACGTGATCGGAGGGGTATCCTGGTCTGACGTCAAACAAGATGGGCGCCTTACCTAAAAATAGTTTGCATCATTTCTACTTTTAATCGCATGTGGTTAGAAGTAAGTTAGAGCATGCATAGTATAGGAGGCATCTAATCTAATCTAGCATCTAGATCTAGATCTGGGTAGCTATATAGACGATCTAAGACTGACTTAGAATCTATATCTAGAGTCTAGAGTCTAGGGCATATTAACGCCGGGTTTGCAAGTTTTCGTGTTTCCCGAGCAACTAAAAATGCTACAAACTACAAAACTAAAGAGTCAAAGTGAAAACCTTTAAAGGTCCTCATGATGACTAGTTAAAAATCATACAATACATCAACGATAAAGAATAAAGACAGTCAAGTCTATAAACTCATGAATGTACCAACCGACACAAGGCCGAAGCATGAAGAGAAGAATGGATGGAAGGAAGGAGAGAAACAGGAAGAAGTATGTTCAGACTTTCTTTCTCAGAAGAGTATTTTCACCACCCTTTTTTCTATTCGCAATTGTTCTCGCTGCCAGGGTTTGTTGAATGAAAAGTAGACTGGTCTCAGCGTACCAAAATCGAGGGTGGAAACGACTTCGAATATTATGTTATATTAAAACTTACCTTTCTTAGAATAAGCTTAAAAAATAATGTTTAAAGTTGAAGCACTAGTAGCACTCTTTGTCTGTCACCATTGTTAATTTTTTCCCCCAATCCTCACAAATGAAACTGCCTTCCCCCCTCTCCCATATATTAGTTTGTCACTGGGTTAGATCAGGTTAGATTTCGGAAATTAAAATAAAGAAGGCATGAATATTTTTGCTGTGGTTTGTTAGGGCAGTGATAAGAGGCAATATTTAGGTATACATAACGTTAAACACAAAATAATTATAAAGAACCATAAACAGTAGGCTAATAATTTACACGTGAGACGTGAGAACGCACAAGAGAACAATAAGAGTGGTCAACAAAAACGATGACAATGATAATTATGATGATGATGATAACGATATACATGTATGATGAAGATGAACAATTGTAACAATAATAATGATAATAACAAAGGTAATGATAATAATAATACACTGTAGGCCTACATTGTACATGTTAATTAATTTACCGAAACGCGGATAGTACAAACCGAAAGGTAGGGGAGATAACCGTTAACACTTGTTGCAGACAACTCAGTGTCAACTGATGTGGTTGGAAGTTTGTTCGAGAAGGAAGAATAGCATGATGATGGTGACAAAAGTCTAACAGCTGCTGCTTTTACTGGGACCCATTCGTTTGACAGTGTATGGCGGTATACTTCCCTAGAAATTTGTGTCTTGTTGTTTTGGGAGAAAATGAAGAGTCTGCGAGTGACTCGTCCGAAAGGAGAGATGAAAATGAGAAAGCCAATCAATTTCTTCAGTTTTATGTTCATAAAAATATTAAATAAATCTAGAATCTAGATCTATGCAAGGCATTTATATTTTATTGTCTTAATTTAGGTCTAGCCTACTTTAAATCTTCTCCTAGATCTTCAGGGCTTGTCCCACCCTTGATACCTTAATTTATCTCCTAGAATCTTGATCTATCATTCTCACTAGATTATATATTGAGGGTCTCGGGGCGATTTTGTAGTTTTGTTCGTTGAGTTAAAGGGGGGTTTCAGAGGGGTAACGTAATAAAAATATGGAGGGGGGGGGCCCCAAGAGTCAAGAGTAGGGGGGTTTCATGCCCCCCTGACCTAAATTTATGGAAGGGGGAATCAGGGGGGCATGCCCCCTGAATTTTACAATAATTTGTTGTTTTGCAGTTAGGTTGCATCCCTGTTCTTTGTGTTGCCTATTTGGTCATCAAGACTTCTGGATTTTTTCTCTGGATGAAATGGATCGTGGACATTATAACGAACGGAACTACAAGATCACCGGTCTCGGTTCTAAATCTAGGTTGAGGTCTCATAGTGAATAGTTTGTCAATATTTTAACTTAAATTTTATTTATAAAAGTAAATAAAGAAATTTCTATTAGACAAGTGAATTTTCAAGGTTTTTTTCTGTTCACACTTGGTGGATTCAAAATTATAAAGTAGGCCTAAAGTTTGAACTTCAGATTCCTCTGACAGCTGAAATTAGATCTGTATTGTTCCCTGTAGGCTACTTCTATTCTTTTAGTGTCAATTTCACTTTAAAAATTCAGCAGAAACATCCTTATCAGATGTTTTATTTTCGGACTCTATAATTTTATTTTAACTCTATTCTACCCTCAGACTACCTTGTGTGAGTGCGAGTAGATTTCATAGGGATGCATCAACATCATGTTTTTGCTTGACAGCACCTCTTCAGGAAGTAGGCCTACTGGTGTGGCTTTAAAACTCTTTTTATCATGGCCTTACCCTCCACGGACTGTACCCATCCTAGGGCTGCCGCATCAATGAGTTGGAATTCAGTGTATTTCAAAGTGCTGAATTTCTTACATTTAATCTTAGATTTTATGGAAATTTGGCAGTTATGTTAGAAATTGAATGTAATTTCTGAAAATGTAGGCCTGTGTGGTTAGGAATTCCACCAAAATTGCACCATGTAGATTTTGAGGTGTATTCCACCCTCCAACTTGACCCAGATTGCCACGCCCACGACGTCCCCTTGGATTTACAGATCTACCCCTTCCCATCGGTACTGCATGAATTCCAGTAGGCTGACCGGTCCCTTTACCATCTGTATTAGATGAGTCTAATTCCTGTTGGTTATCATCCACAGCGGAATTTATGGCACTTAATTCAGAATCACTTTCATCAAATTAGTCTAATTCCCCCTCACAACCCAGTGCCTCTTCCTGAAGTACTTCATCGGTCGTGAAAGTTCGTTTTTGAGACATTTTTTAAGTATCAAAAACAAAGAAACCGCTTTTCATTGAAAAATTGAAATATTCAGACGTATATAAATATATGCGTATTTTGGTAGTTAAGCAGAACTAGCAGTTTGACGTGACTGTATAGCTGTTGGGAGTTTACTCGTAGCCTGGCCTAGTCTTCGGAGAATACTTGTAGTTCGGATAAAAAGAGTTAATACAAACATAATAACCACATAGGGTAGTGAATAAAATGAGAAAATAAAGCACTCAAATATGTCATTGGTAAATTTTAAAAATACTTTTTATTGTAGCAAGAGAGTAGAATTGTAATTAATTTTCAAGTAAATCTGAGAATCAAATTTTTACTTTTATTACATAAATCCACCAAGTCGGAATAAAATGTTCTTATCTGAAATTTTGACCAGATCGGAACAGAAAATTTGATGCTTGGTTCAAACTCATAAAGTAGTATTATTAACAGTTTTCGTTATCATTGTCAATGGCTGGTCACTAAATTGTTGTTGATGAGGAAGGAGTCAGTCTGTTAAATTTGTGTATTATATATTTATCTGTCTTCCATATGTACTGAACCCAAAAATTATCCCAGTGTCCAAGTCTAATTTGGGTAGATCATGTTAGTTATGTACTTACTATTGATGTCAAAGAGTCTGTAAATTCAATAGCGGCATTGTTCGGATCTTATTCTTTTGGGAGACCAGTTACTGATTCAAGCGATGGTGTTTGTATGTGTGGAGGTGGGGGGAATGAACTTGCTTAGAGTTAGAGTCGAGTTAAATACCAAATTTTAATGTTGCTGAATGTTTTGTGCTGTAATCTCACATTCGTCCTCAACACTGGATGCTTGGGTGTGGGCTTATTTATGTGTGCTTTTACATAAAGTATGAAGCCCAATCAGAAGGCCCTTAAAAAGCCCTGTTCAAAACCGAAAAATTGTAATTTTTTCCCTGTATTCAATTAATGTTGCCTTGATTTTCATAAAGTCATTGGTGACCTCAGACTACAGTTTGATTTAAAAACTATAAAATTTAGTTTTTAGTATGATTTTAAGTTTGAATAAAAATGGATTTTTTTCTCCCAATAGACAAGACTGGCCTCAAGGCAATGAAGCAGTCTTATTATTTTCAATTTTTGGTCTTTTGTTTCAGATTTATTATAATGCAAAGTCTGGATGATGGTGTTTTTATTTTTTTCAGGATTATTATTTATGAGGTGATCAGTTTTGTCAAAATGTCGCAAGCAAGCAGGACGGAGGACGATGATGTCAGCAGCAACAACAATAGTGGCCATATTGTGGTAGACAACTCGGAGAACAATAATGTAGATGGCGCCGCCTTGTATAACAAAGAGGATGATGAGGAAAATCCAGGTGGGCTTTTCTCTCATGGTTTGAGTTCTCTCAGGTGGTATTGTTTTCTCGGATGGTACTATTACTAGTACTATTTTCTCTCAGATGGCATAGTTTTTTTCTCTCAGATGTTTCTGTTTCCTAATTAATGCCATCACGCACTTGGAAAATTGTCTAAAACTCATGTATGGCTTGGTAAAAAAAATATATGGTACATTAAATGATTTTGTGCAGGTGGTTGGAGGGTGGCTCTGGTAAGTCCTACTTTTTTTCTTTCCTTGTGTCGTTTCTGCCTGCCTCTTCCTTTTTCCCTGCACTGCCTCAAATGAACTTCTCTTTCTAAAATTCAAAATTCTAATAATTTCAATTTCATCTGTACTGTTGACTGAGAAGGGGAAAACTGATCATAGTTTAGCTTTTGGTAAAAAATTTTGTTTGGATAAAAATGCGGCTTTAGTTTATTTGTCCATTTCCAGCATTGTAGTGCTTCTCACTTCTCTTTACTCCTTGTACTCAAAATTAAGAAGCCAGTTATTTTTCCAGTTAAGATACAAGGGTTAATTATGACAAATTCCAAGGTGTTTGTTCTGAAGAAATTCATTTATTGGGTCAGTTTGCTTCTGTTGACTCAAATTCTTGAACTGGGTACTCCAACCTGTACATTTTCTGTGTTTTCTGTTTTGTAATGTTAGTGTTTGTTCTATCTTTTCAAAGATCTTTTTATGTCAATGGGAGTAAAAACACCTACATTAATTAATCTTTAAATTTCCAAAGATCAAGAGGATGTGTGGTTGACAGAAGATGAAGACGAAGACGAGAATTACACGGACGAGGAACCAGAGGCAGACTCGGCTTCGCTTGTTCGCATGCCAGTGCCGGAGTCAGAACTGCCGGACACAGTCACGGTGCTAGAGAGGGGCGGTTGCAGGCTGTACCTGGTGGGCACCGCTCACTTCAGCAAGGAAAGCCAGGAGGATGTGGCCAGGGTGAGAAGAAATTGATGCTCTGTGATTAAATAGATGTGTTTGAAAACGGTGCTGGTTGGCCAGTGCACACTATACAGAGATGTAGATTTTCCAGATAAATCTGGAAGTATGGATTTCTGAAGTTGTCCAGATTTTTCCTAACTTCAAGATAAAAGATATATTATATAATACGATCCGTATATATTTAAGTCCCTACGTACACGTTCCTACGGGTCCGAAAAATTCAGGATTTCTTTTTAGTCGCCACTTGGCACATCTGACTATACCACAGGGATCTCTGCTTTGCTTTATGTAATTTAACCCACAAATCTGTTACAGCTTATCACATTCCGCATGAAAAGAAAAGATCTTACCTTTAAAAGTCTGACAGTTTTATTTCTGGTTTATTAATTTAGTAATGGCTGTAGAGTTTTGATTGATGACATTTTACACTAAAATGGTTGAGGCGATACAGATGGCCTTTGATGTGGGATTTTTTATACAGATGGCTATTTTATCTGTGTATTGTACAGGAGATACAGATGGCTGTTTTATCTGTTGTTTCTAAAGGGGATACGGGTAGCTATTTAATCTGTGATAATGTGGTAAAGGTATTACAGACGGTTATTTTGTCTGTGTATTGTAAAGATGATCAGAATGGTTAAATAGTCTGTGTGTTTTCAAGGTGATACAGCAGACTATGTTATATGTTTATGTGGTCAAGGTGATACAGATGGCTATTTTGTGAAAGTGTGTTGTAAAGGTGATACAGATGGCTATGTTATATGTTCATGTGGTAAGGGTGATACAGAAGGCTATTTTGTCTGTGTGGTGTAAAGGTGATACAGATGGCTATTTTGTGTAAGTGTGTTGTAAAGTTGATACTGATGGCTGTTTTGTCTGTGTGTTGTAAAGGTGATACAGATAGCTATCTTGTCTGTGTGTTGTAAAGGTGATACAGATGGCTATTTTTTCTGTGTGTTGTAAAGGTGATACTGATAGCTATTTTTTCTGTGTGTTGTAAAGGTGATACAGATGGCCAAGCCGCACGTGATCCTGGTGGAGCTGTGCCAGAGCAGGGTGAACATCCTCAAGATGGACGAGGCACGGATCTTGGAGGAGGCGAAAAACATCAACATGAGCACCATCAGGCAGCTCATCCAGAGGGTAGGTGCTGGTCCTGTGGGGGGGGGGGGAGTAAAGTATGACACACACAGACAGACACATGCACACACAGACACAGACACATGTGTACGCATGCACACACACACACACATGTGTACGCATGCACATGCACACATACACACACACATACACACACACGTGCGCATGCACACACATAATATGTGTACGCACGTTCACACATACACACACAGACACACACACATGCACACGTGTAGGCACACACTAACACACGCGCAGGCACACACTAACACACGCGCGCGCACACACACCGCACATACACACTCATTAACACTCACTCACACACACATCACAGCCCCTACCATTTACTATTCCAGTAAGACATAACTGAACCTCCACTTGACCCTAGATATTGCGCACTGGTTCAGGTCAAGCAGTTCGGAGTGTTGGGGCTGTGCTTTTTATTTTTTTTATGGTCGTTTGTATTTTGTGTAGTTGAGGAAAAGTATAATTAAAATAAACAAATACATGCTGTTGAGGACAAGCTGTTGTTTTCATGTCCCCCCCCTTCCCCTCCCCCCAATAGATAAGATAAGATAAGATATATCTTAATTGCCCAGATCCTGGCACATTGGTATGGTGTTTCACCACGTGTACATGCACACGCGCGCGCGCACACACACACACACACACACACACACACACACACACACACACACACACACATGCACACACATGCAGGCTTACAATCACATGCATAATATAAATGAGCAGCAATATAAACAATAATAATCTTAAGCTAGATACACTCTCAATGTTATTCTGATGCATGCTCTAAGGTCGTAAGAATACTTATACGAGATGGTTAAGATGGAAGCATTATGATAGATGATGGTAAAAATGACCTTCTGTTAGTGCTGGGCGGCTAGTTTCCCGATTATAAATAAAAGCTAGGAATCGTAGGAATCGACTCCAATCCCAATTACTTACTTTCCAAGGATGTGATTTCTTCCGATTGTTACCTGGTTGGCTCCGAACATCTTCGGGAGTTAGGATAACCTCGATTTTGGAACACGAGGAAGTCTCGACTTTTATTTTTCAAAAATATATTTTGAAAAAAAAAGAGAAAAGATTTGAATAATTAAGGTAGCTGGTAACCGTTGGTTTGTGTAAAAAGGAGTCGGAACTTTTCCTCCGTAGCATTAATCGTGGGAATCGGTTCCGGATTCAATTCTTCGCCCAGCTCTACCTTCTGTATCTTTCCTACAGAATGGCGTGATGCAAGGAGTCCTCAACATCCTCCTCCTCAACATGTCGGCCTACATCACCAAGGAGCTGGGAATGGCGCCCGGAGGGGAGTTCCGCACCGCCTTCAATGAGGTACCTTTGCTTTTTCTTGAATTTAAGTGTTTTTACCCAGGAAGTCTAAAGCAGGAAGTCAAAATCACGATGTAGCACTTACATAACAAAGCTGTCTCGATAAAGTCATTGAATAAAAATATTGGAACAAATAAATAGTCACTTCTCTATTCCTGTGGGTGATTGGTGGACGCTGCGGTGTGATTAGCTCTTTCTTTCCTTTCCGACTTCTATTGTCTTTATTTCTATTTCTTCTCTTTATACGTTACTCTTTAGTAACACCTCTAGTCTTCGGTACTTATATGACCTCTTTGTTTTGCAAGTGCCGTAAAACTCTTACTAGGACTAATTTGGCACTAATATAGACCTATTTGTCTCACAGGTGGCGTGAAACTCTAACTAAAACTAAACTCTCTTTTCCCCACTCAGGCAAGAAAGCTGCGTGGAGGCTGCCGGTTTATCCTGGGCGACCGGCCCATTCAGATCACGCTGCGACGAGCCCTGGCCTCCCTCAGCCTCTGGCAGAGACTCAAACTGGCATATGCTATCCTCTGCTCGAAAGAGCCCATCACGTGAGTTTGCTCCTCTCGCAGTTGTATGGTGTCTCTTGAGAAAAATCAGTCCTTTAGTCAACACTGACACTGCTTTAACCTTTTCAATGCTGAAACGTTTCCATAGATCTACGTTTGTACCAACAGGTAGAGTGTTCATTCAAGAGAGCTGAAAACAAAAAAAGATCTGGGATTCCCTCCAAAGAGAAACGTTTATCGTAACATGAGAGACAGAGTTTAACTAAAGGCGAAAGACACATTTGTTCAACATTATCCCCGGCCAGTAATTTTGTATGTTGAGAATTTGTCCAGGTCTCGGATTTGTGTGTGTTTGTGTGTGTGTGTGTGTGTGTGTGTGCCTATATATATGTGTGTGTGTGTTTGTGTGTGTTGTTGTAGTTGTTGTTATTGTTGCTGTTGTTAAATGGTTTCACATTGTGTATTTTTTATCCTTTGATTCGTCAGTTTCACATACAGATAGTCGTGCATTGTCCTGGGATATAAGGCCTGAAATGATAACATTCTCTTGTTCTTTATTTATCCTCAGGACAGAAGATATTGAAAAATGTTAACTTATTCTTGTCCCTTAAAAAATGCTAAATTTTTCCATCGTCCTTTCTTCGCCGCCAGGAAAGAAGATGTGGAGAAATGCAAACAGAAGGACATGCTGGAGCAGACGATCGAGCAGATGACCGGAGAGTTCCCTGCCCTTGGCCAGGTGTTTGTCAGCGAGCGAGACGTCTACTTGGCACATTCTCTCCGCAAAGCCACGCAGCCTGTGCCCTGCCCAGAGGCTCCAGGAGGTCAGTCACAGAACTAGAGCACTGAAACTTTTCCTTCAATAGGTTAAACACTCTCCTCTCCTCTCTTTCACGCTTATATCCCTTCTTCCCCTACCCCTTTCACCGCTTTTTCTTTCCTCATCCTTATTATTGTCAATTATCCCCTACTTCGTTTGTCATGTTTGTCACGCTCTGGTGAACTGCTATTTCCGGGATGCCTTGATGATAGTCGAAGCAGACTTTGTGCTGTTGAGGTTAGAGAGGTGAGCAGAATAAGCCTGATTCCCTGTAAAGACTTCTCTGTTGACATCCACCCCTTGTTGCTCATATGACCTTATGCAGTTGCGAGTGGCGTAAAACAGTACTAAACATCCCTCTCCCCCTTTTGCCTCCCCACTGCCAGGCTTGAGTCCTTTGTGAGCTTATGTAGGTCCAGCAGTTAAAAGTTTAAGTAAGATCCAACAGGTATAAAAATTACTTCATACTGTCATCAACATGAGCTATTGATGTGTGGGAGAACAACATTATTTTGTATGTCCGTCCAGATACTCTTTGTGTGTGTGTGTGTATGTGTTTGTGTGTGTGAGAGAGTGTGTTGATAACAGATAAGTGCATGTGTGTGTGTGTGTGAGAGAGTGTGTTGATAACAAATAAGTGCATGTGTGTGTATGTGTTTGTGTGTGTGAGAGAGTGTGTTGATAACAGATAAGTGCATGTGTGTATGTGTTTGTGTGTGTGAGAGAGTGTGTTGATAACAGATAAGTGTGTGTGTGTATGTGTCTGTGTGTGTGAGAGAGTGTGTTGATAACAGATAAGTGCGTGTGTGTATATATGTGTATGTGTGTGTGAAAGAGTGTGTTGATAACAGATAAGTGCATGTGTGTGTGTGTGTATGTGTGTGTGAGAGAGTGTGATGATAACAGATAAGTGCATGTGTGTGTATGTGTTTGTGTGTGTGAGAGAGTGTGCTGATAACAGATAAGTGCATGTGTGTATATGTTTGTGTGTGTGTGTGTGTATATGTGTGTGTGTGTGTGAGAGAGTGTGTTGATAACAGATAAGTGCATGTGTGTATTTGTTTGTGTGTGTGTGTGTGTGTGTGTGTGTGTGTGTGTGTATGTGTGTGTGAGAGTGTGTTGATAACAGATAAGTGCATGTGTGTATGTATTGATCATGTCGCAGCAAAGTTCTTTTTGTGGAGATCAAGAAATTGTTATGTTATCTTATCATGTTGTATCTTGTGTTATGTTCTTCGATGCAAGCTCCTACACACACCTACAGACTTACAAAGCTTGCTCTACTCTGGCGTTGACCAGATGACAAGGACATGTGGTTACTTGAGGGAGGCATTGCGCTGCCAAGAGCGAAATGCTCGCAGCTAAAGGGATTTGAAAACAACAACAACAACAACATCTTGTGTTTTTCCAGGCGAGGTCCCAGCAGTGGTGGTGGGCGTGGTGGGGATTGGTCATGTGAAGGGCATCACGGAGAACTGGCACAAGGAGCTGGACGTGGAGGAAATCTGCCGGTCAGTTCTCTCATTTGTTGGGTCTTGAGTGACCCCTGTGCTTTGCATGTAGCGTCGATCAGCTGTTCAGATGTACTGACTTTGCCCAAAATCTTTTTAATTTCAGTTTCTTAATCTGAGGTAGGGTATTGGTTGCATGTGCTAGAGAAATATGTTTTCTCGAAATTCAAAGTCTAAATGTTGAAAAAAGCAAGTTAACCCTTCCTGCCCCAGCCACTTTTGTGCACTCCCTAATCCCAGTCCCTGCCTATACAGCAGTATTTTAGAAAAGAGGCTTGCATTCTAAAAACTGATGTAGTATGTTATATAACAATGTTTAAAGGTAAATGAACAAACATTTAAGTTTATTCAGGTTCACAAAATGTGCAAATTCGGTACCACCTGAAACTGAGAATATACGCTCTTGGGATAGTGGGAAGTACAAGCACTGCTGAAAATATACATGCATGGGGCTGGAAGGGTTAAGATACAGTTGTTAAAAGAATAAAACAGTTTTTCTCCCCCCCAAAAAAAATGTTGCTGTACATTTGAACAGCTTGCTGGCAATACGTTTTGTGGCCCCATCGACACAAGTTAGGTCATTTTAGAGGCAGGCTGCTCTGACCTGCGGTGACATACAGTCTACAGGCTTTATGTTTGTGTTTGTTACCTCAAGACCTGAGATTTCCTGTATGGGTGGTTGGTGGGTGCTCTGGTGTGGTTTGCTCCTTCTTTGAAATTCTTTCCCATCAAACATCTATCGTCCTTATCTCCCCTCCTTCTTTTTTTATGTTTGTTACTCTCCTGTAACACCTCTAATCTTCTGGCGCTCATATGACCTTATGCAGTTGCGAGCGCTGTAAAACCTCTACTAGAACAAAAACAGAGATTTCCTGTGTCTATATTTTGTGTGTTTTACTGTCACATAAGATGAGGAGCAGGTGTTTGGTAGGACCTTCCTCTTTTCTTTCCCTCTACTGTTTCTGTCTGTCTTTCTCTCTTCCTGCACTAAATGACCATCTTTGTGTTCATATCTTTCTTTTTACTGAAACGCAAAACAAAAAAATTACCTGAGGCTGCAGGTGATTGGTGGGCCCCACTTATAGGTCCTACTTCTTTACCTCCTTCTGTTGTTTCTGTTTGTCCTTCATACTTTTATCCAGCACCATAAGACAGTTACTGTGTTGATGTGCTTTTCTCTTCTCAAATAAACAAAACAAAAAACCTGAGGCTAGAGATTTCTGGTGGTTTTATTTTGTTTTTTGTCAGCACCTCTGACAAGAGATTGTGGGTAGTTAGCAGCTGCTCCGGTGTGGTTTGCTCCTTCTATTTTTATCAAACGTCTATCTTATTTTTTGTGTGTTTGTTACTGTCTTGTAACACCTCTAATCTTTGGCACTTATAGGACCTTATTTTGTTGCAAGTGCTGTAAAAGTATTTATTATAACTATAACAAAAATATAACAAAGGCAAGAAATTTCGCCTGGCTTTATCTCACCTGTTTCTCATTCATCATTGCCAGGTTGCCCCCGGCGTCGATGGCGTCTTCAGTTGCCAGATGGGGTTTCCGTCTTACGGCGATCGGCCTTCTGACCTACGGCTGCTACCGGGCCTCACGCCTCACTCTGCTTCCCTGGATATCCACCATCATCAAGTAGACCAGTCCGGCAAGGTTTCTTTAGGAGGCTAACGGCAATTGTAACCCATAATGCAACAATGACAAGGATAGGATTGATGTAGAACGTTACGTATTATCGAAGATGTTAGGGTGCAAGTGGGCCAACTCTAAAACTTTTTAAAACCTGATTTTTGACTCTGTTGTGTAAAGCAGGGTCAAACACATCATCTCAATAAATGGTGGAAAAAAATTCAACAAATAGAAAATAAAAAATGTATTGAAACTGACTTACTTACTCTCTCCCTATACTGTCAGGTACACGAGGCAGAGAGCAGTTGACGCCACGCTTTGAATGTTAGTCCCTGCCCACTTCAATGTATCGAAACATTCCCATAAAATTTGAGTTGAAGTTGTCTGGAATAGAATAATTTAAGTAAAGCCTCTCCTGTAAGGCTTTTCGGGAGCTGGCCCAGCTGTGCCCCGACATCTTGGATGTACAGCCGCACTAGGGTTAGGGCGGAAAGGTGTATGGTTAATGCAACAGTGACAGCAGTGAAAGTAGGGGAAACAGTGACAGCAGTGACAACAGTGACAGAAGTAACAGAAGTGACAGTATTGACAGAAGTAACAGTAGTGACAGAAGTAACAGAAGTGACAGTATTGACAGAAGTGACAGAAGTAACAGTAGTGACAGTAGTAACAGTAGTGACAGAAGTAACAGTAGTGACAGTAGTAACAGTAGTGACAGTAGTAACAGAAGTAAGAGTAGTTACAACAGTGACAAAAGTGACAACAGTGGCAATGTTGACAGTAGTGACGTAGTGACAAAAGTGACAACAAGTGGCAATGTTGACAGTAGTGACGTAGTGACAAAAGTGACAGTAGAATAGTGACAGTAGTGTCAGCAGTGACATAGTAGTGATAGTAGTGACAGTAGGACATTAGCTACACTGGTGACAGTAGGACTGGGACAGAAGAGAGATGTTACCTCTATTCTTGCAATTTATTCAAGTTCAAGTCAGGAAAAAAGATGCAGAGAAGAGAAACATGTGATTGATGCAACAACAGTAACTATAGGATTGTGGTGGGAAGTTGCATGACTGTTGAGTGATTGTTGAGTCGTTTTTTTGTTGTTGTTGTGTTTTCTGTCGTGAAGAATGTTGAGAAGACTTTTGCTTGAGGCAGAGGAGTAGAGGGGAGGCAGGGGGAAAATGTCTAATTCTGAGCTTTTCATTTGAAGACAGTGGGGGGGGGTGGTGTCACAGTTTTGTCATTTTGAGAAGTCTTCGCTTTAACAGTAAGGTTTGGAACCTCATATCCTAACGAAGGAAAAGAAACTGTGTTTTTACATGTCCCAAATCTGATCTTCCTTACTCTGTTTATGAGAGTCTTTTTTCTTAAATCAAAAACATTTTCTAAACCACAGATAATTTCAAAGCAATTCAAAGGCCCAAAATATTCCACTTTATCAGTTTTCCAGTGTATTGGTAAATCGGTAAAAATCGTCTAATCTTTCCCTTTTCAAGCTCAGTCTCATTTCAAACTAGACCAGGTGCTCTAGTCAGGTAAGGAGTTGTAATTTATCAGTGAAGAAAGATTGACAAATAGGGGGGCGGGGGGGGTGTCCTATTTGGAATAGGAGTGTGTGAGATTAGAGCATAAACGATGGCTGAGTGAGTGAAGGGATTTATATTTGGAGATGGAGTAAGAATACCTGTGAGTGAAAAGTGATGCTGTGTGGGGGATGTATTTGGAAAAGGAGTAAAACTATACTTGTAAATAAACAAACATTGACGATGTTAGTGCGGGGGCGACGTGCTTTAGGTTTCTGTCATTGTATCTGTGTAAATGACCTTGACCCTGTGAATTATTCAGTCTCGCTTTTTATTGTCGGGCAATACTGTTACATTGGGTCAAATGTATTATATCTTATCTTTGGAATGATCATCATTATTGTTGTATTTGTTCCTCGGATTTCTCAAATGTTTGTTTGAAACGGAGGAAAGTCTAGCACACATATAGCGAAACACACACAACGCAAATGATTTTCAGGTCCTTACTTACTTACTTACTTGGTTGGAGAATAGAACGCATCATTGCAGGCTGCACAGTGCCATAGCTGCTCCTCCCTCCTCCCCAGGATCCATGAAAGGGTCTGCTTGCTGATCGTGCCAGTTGTCAGCTGGTTGAATATTTTTCACTGATTTTCAGGTCCTGAATTTGTTAATATATTATGTATTTCTTTATATTCAAAACATCATGTGCAAATCGAAATTGGTGCAGGTATAACAAAAAGTAAAAGATTTTCACGTTCTGCAGTTGTCGCTATGTGTTTGCTAGACTTTTGTTGTTGTTCTTTTTTTTCGTATTATTGACCAAGGACTTTATGCACATGTTCCAGAGGACCGTGGTGTGGTGGAGGTGTGAGAGGAATGTATGTGAGGGCATGTGTGAGGGCATGTGTGAGGGCCTTATTGTAAGGGGCATGTGTTTTCACTCGTTGTTCCACAGCACCGCGTGTGTGAGGGCATGAGTGAGGGCATGAGTGAGGGATGCTTGTTTGTTCATTGTTCAACAGCACAACAGCTCTATGTTCTGTGTGAGGGTGTGTGTGAGGGCATGTGTGAGGGATGCTTGTTTGTTCATTGTTCAACAGCACAACAGCTCTATGTTCTGTGTGAGGGTGTGTGTGAGGGCATGTGTGAGGGATGCTTGTTTGTTCATTGTTCAACAGCACAACAGCTCTAT